GGACACAGGGCCACGGGCTGGCCTACAGCTCCCACTCAGGACACAGAGCCACGGGCTGGCCTACAGCTCCCACTCAGGACACAGAGCCACAGGCGGCTGCTCCCACACGGGCGTCCCCGAGCTGGAAGAGTGAGGATCCTGATCCCTGTGCGAGTTGGCTCCTGTCTGCAGCTCTGTCCTGATCTCCACCAGACTGGACAGCCAGCAGTCCTGCTGTGGGAGTCTGGGACGAGCTGCCCAGCCACATGGGTGAAGACGTTACCATGTCAGGAAACAGCCGGACGCGATACTGGGGTCAATGAGCTACATGCCGATTAACAGGCTCCTCTTGCCCGTCACCTGAGCCCAGCCAGCTTCTCGCAAACGAAGTGACACCAGAAATCAATACCCAGCATCTAAAAACACACAAGTATGAATGGGCTGTGGAGTTTAAAATTTCTGTGGCGCCCTTGTTTGCCCATTGTATTATCCCTGACCTCTCACCTTTCTCTCTCCCTTACCCTTCACCCCTGACCCCTCACCTTTCTCTCTCCCTCACACTTCAACCCCTCACCACTGCCCCCTTTCTTCCCTCACCCTCTCTCTCTCCTCAGACCCCTCCCCCATTTCTCAGGTAAAGTCTGAAGCACGTGAGTGAGTTTTAATAGAGAGACAGGAGTAGGAATGAGCTGCTACATGTTCTCTGGCTGTCTGACCGGCACCCTAACCCTCACGGAGACTCGCAGAACTGTCGCAACATCAACACCGAGCCAACAGCCGAGCCCAGATCAAGACTCATGAAGGGATGAAGCCTTCCTCTCCCTCCCCTCTCTCGCTGTTTGACAGACAGACAGGACACTGATCTCTCCACTCACCCACAGCAGCTGCAGGGATTTCAGACAGCCAGGGCAGTAATAATACTCCATCTCTCCTCACAGACGCAAGCGAAACAAGTCCCAAACTTTCCTGCCTTCCCTCCGAGCTCGCAGCTTCCTCAGTACACAGTCCAGCCCCCAGAGCAAGAGAGAGGTCGCCTCTGACGCGCGCGAGCAGCGCAGACATGTATAATTTAGTGATCTGACTTGAACACGCACAGGCTTCCTCTGAGCTGAGACCACACACACACCGACTCCTGCTGTGGATTTGGAAGACAGAGCAATTTAACCTATGTGTTTGCACGGGTCCCAGCTGACCACGGGGCTACTGTGTAATACAGCCGCGTCAATAAAGCGCTGTTGGGGCTGAATTTGCATCCTGCAGTGGGGGAGGGAGGACGTGGGGCCGGGGGGGGTTGACCGCTCTCAAACTGGTGCCTCCCTGCCGGCAGACAGGTCTGGGTTATCACCACGACCGTAACTTCCCCTGGCGATCTGCTCCGAGCTGGATTGCCAACTTCCTACCGCAATCTGACTCTGCAATTACAGTCACACAGAAGGACTGGTTCTGCGCAGAGAGTGAGGGAGGGGCGTCTGGAGACAGCTTTAGTTTTGGGGGGGTTGAATAAATACATCTTTGCATCTGGAACAGCACTGGGGGCCCCATTCCCCGACCACCACCAGTCCCATGTGAAGCAGAGCCCTATATAGGGAGGAGGCAGGTGTGCAGGCGAGGACACCTAGCCCACACTTCCTGTCCTGTCGGACCCGAGTCGGTACAAAAACAGGGGGAGGGGCAAAGGGAAAGAGAGGCGGGAGTGTTCCAGAGACCTGACCCATCCTGGACTGGGCACTGGGCAGCCACGTGGCAAATTACATTCAAACACCGATTAGAAAACAAGATTGACTCATTTGTGACAGAGAGCAGGAAACCTCTTTACACAAAGAGTTGTGAGAGCCTGGAACAGGCTTCTGAGCCAGGTGGTTGAGGCCTAAACTTTGGGCTCCCTAAAGCAGCAACTGGACATGTCAGACTGGCGGAGCTGCTGGGCGACCAAGCAAGCGCGATGATGTCTGAACGGCCGCCTGGCGCCTGTCAATTCCCTGCTTCAGTGACCCCGCCAGCAAAACTCTGACTTTGTGTTAGGAATGGCAGGCAGACTCAAGATAAACACACAGACATCACCAGCTGCCGCGAACAGGAAACACAAACACTGGGAAATCAGGGGAGATTTTCTGACTGCCTGTAATACCATAGAAGGGCCACAAGGTGGCAGGAAAGACTCAAAAACAATAAATCCCCAGGTTCTGCAAACCGCTGCAGCTGGCACTAACAAGCCCGGAGACTGCAGAACCGGGAAGAACCGAACCAGAATTCACTTCTTACACACCCACCCGATACAGAGGAAGATTTCGGAGGAACACAGGAGAGATGGACGACAGGCGAGCAACAGTCTTTCAGGACAGTGTCTGCATTGCTACTCCCCCACAGACTGGGGGTACCCTCATCCGTACAGCAGAAGCCACCCCGAGTTAGATAGCAAGGGGCAGAGTACCGAGCTGGATACACGTCCTGCTGCAGGCAGAGGACACAGGCCAGGGGAGGGGCAGGAGCACTTGAATTTCACACTCCTGCAGAACCTGTCCAGGACTTGGGGCCAAGCAGGAAACACTGTTGGAGCTGTGCAACTCGTGTTTTCAGAGCAGGTCAGAGCTGTTAAATCAGTCGGTTCTTGCCCGTACTCCTGCCTGCTGAGCCATGTCAGAGAGAGGCAGGACGGGCTTGAATTCCATCTGCTTTACTCACGCAAACCCCTCCCTGACCCGGCCTACTGCACTCCCACTCCTCCCTTCCTCCCTCTCTCAGCACAGCGGCCGCACCACTGACACCCTCACTGCACCTAGAGTAGTCGCTGGGCACCACACTGCCCCTGCTGGTGGAGAGGGGTAATGGCAGCAGCTCAAACCCAGGAGGCGGGTCAGATTCCAGCAGACGGGAACGGCATTCCTGACAGCCCACACCCGGCACGCTCGCATTTCAGGCTGGACTGGCTGCAGGGCGCTTGTCCAGATCGCAGCGGTGAAGCTGAGAGCAGTGCTTGCATAATATGGCTGTAATCCCAAAAGGTTTATGTCAATTTGCTCAAAATAAGTTTACAAACTTGAAATCCGCCGGAGAGATCCTCCTGCAGAGGAGCTGTGCCATCACTGCGGAGCCGTGACTCACCTCAGTGTGCCGGCTGCGGCTCCTCGCTCTCGCCAAGGGCCCCTCCAGGGGGCTCTCCGGAGGCGCTGGCTTCCATGACACGCTGCCCGGCTTCGCCCGCGCCGAATCCTGAAGCAGAGGGAAGCGCTTTGTTATCAGACAGGCAGGCAGCTCCTGGCAGTCAATACAGAAACTGCCTGTGCTCACTACTGAAGCTCATGGAAGTTCAATACTCACCCTCCTGTGTGGCTGTGTGTGGCGCTCGGCACTGGGCTCACCACCGGCCAGGGGGCGCTGGTGCAGACTCCAGGAATCCAAAGTGTCCCCCTGTCTCTGGGATTCGGGTTGCAGTGGGGGCAGGAGAGAGGAACCTCTCTGATCTGCCCCCTTTTTCCAGTCCTGAGGCACTGAGGCTGCTGAACTCTGAGAGAGAGGCTCTGGAAACTGGGCCCAGTTCTGGTTCTGTTTCTGATCCAGTACAGAAGGCCATGGTGCAGTGCCCCAGTGGTCGGGAAGCTCCTCTGCTCCTCTTCCTCTGGATCCTGACCCCTCCTTCCCTCCAGTCTCCCAGAATGCCTTCTGTGAGGGAGACGATATGGGTTCTGTGATGCCAGACTGCTGTGGGGGATTCTCAGTGATCAGGGCTTCTTGGGGAGCGCTGGAGGCCCCCAAAATGTGTCGCTTGGCTGTTTTAGGATCCAGATCCATCGAGTAGGTTCCAGGTTTGTGAGAGCCTTCTTCCTGGTGTTGGTGCCCTCCTGGTTTCTGAATATCAGCAACAGGCAAGACCTCCTGAATAGGCTGGTGGCGGGGAGATTCAGGGTTGCAGATTCTCCTGCTAGAAGCTAGGAGCTGGGGTCCCCCTTCAGAGCTGCCCCGGAAGGAGTCGACGTCCAAAACCGGAAGCCTGTATGACTCCCCTGCTTTGGGGGCGGGTGTTTCCCACCTGGGGCTCCTGTCCTTCTGCTCTCCGATAGTGGGGGAGTTCAGGTCCAGCACACTGGGTTTGAGCATGGCCCGCCCAGGACCCTCCGACTCTTCCTCTTCCTGTTGCCTCAGAGCGTGCGCCTGGTCCTGCACTGTCTCTTCGGCCTTTCCAAAGGCTGCCTCCAGAGAGGGGCTCCTGTGCAAGGAGAACCTCGGTATGCTCCACTGACGCTGCTTCACAGAAAAATCATCGTAGAGCACCTCTATCCCTGCACTACTGGTCACGCTCTTCGGGACCTCTGGAGGGCTATCCTTGGTCTGGCCAGTCAGGGCGAAGAACATTGCTCGGGGCTCCCCTTCACCTCTTTTTCCTTGCTCAATCGTGGTGGTAATTGTGGGATTGCCCTGTCTCTCCTTCTGTAACTCCTTCTGCCTCTCCCACTCTAATTCCAACTGTCTCTGCCTCTCCCATTCCAACTCCCTCTGCCTCTC